GATCATCCACAAGTCGTGGCTGATCTGGCACCTTTACAAACTCTAGATCCACCATTTTATGTGTTTTGAGCTCTCAAATGCTTCGTCAAATGATTCGGCAAATTTCGATCGAGCACGCTAGCGTCGGGAATCCGGAAATACTGATGGGTGATCCTTCGATATATCGAGGGATAATCCACGCTTTAGCGCTCAAGCAGCTGTACACACTCGCGCTCTCACTTAAACTCCCGTGGATCAACCGTATAGGTCTGTAATCGCTTTAATCTTTAGCATTATAATGTGGAGTCTTGTGCTAATAGTATAAGAAATATAGAACGATTTCTTCGTAATGAGCTTCGACTATCGCTTCAATTGTGTGGCTAGCTTTCAGCCCCCTGGAGGAAAATACTTCCAATGGAAGCCTGACTAGAGCAAATCTACCCTAAACGCTGCAGACAGGCAGTGGAGGAGAGAAAATGCTGCCACGGTGGCCTGTATATAAATTTAGCTTCGGTATTCATAGTGGGTAGTCCCTTGAACTGGTGAGCCGATTATAGAAAGGACTCCACCTTTGGCGCACATTGTATAAATTTGCAAATCCATTTCCGCACTGAATTGGCGAGCGACTGGAATGTTTGGTCATCGTAAATCAGAAATAATAAGGTGATAGATTCAATTTATTGACCACATGTGACCGAAATCTAATCCACCTCTTTTCTCACTGGCCTCTGGGCAGAGCCAATAGATTCATGACTTTTCACTGCCACCTGCTGAATTAATTCCACGAAGAAGACTCCGGCCAGGTGAGCACGCCAAAAGTGATAACTACCATATGCACGCACTATGAATTTGCGATTCTTTCGCCGATAAATTCTCATTTAACACAGCACCTCTGCCACCCTCTGACTAGCGTGAAAATAAAATTCTTAGGCAATTTATTAGACGCTGCTCAAGATCGTGGCAGAGGCGGAAAAAAACACGGCTTCACCCGTGAATTGATGGAGTGGTCTAGAGACTCTGCTTCTGCGAGACACTCGTGGAGGATTGGATGCTGAAAAATGCTCCTCGAGTGGTTGAAGGTGCGATGGCAATGACGGAAATGTGTGTTTGACATCGAAATATGATGTTTTTTCTTCAGATCCCGAGTCCCTTTCTTGCCGTTCAACAACATTTCGATGACAAATAAAGTGGAATCAACTTAGCATAAATTGATAACATACCTCGGCACTCACCATGATTCCCCCCCACCCCACGCCCAGGAACTTTAAAGGTCCATCTTAAAGTCACCATTGTCGGCAATCAGAGCTGGAAGCTTTAAGGAGCTTTCGGTGCTTGCTGTCTCTTGAGAATTTTCAGAAGTTCACCTGTGCTCATATTTAACTTTTGCAATTCTCACTTTCGAAATAAAAATTTTTTCATTCAACAATATTGATTAAAAAATTCCCCATTAAAATTCAACGGGGAAAAAACTTCAATGGCAATATTATTTCGCCAAGCAAAAGAATTATACCAACTCGTTGAAACTGTAAAATGGCGAGCACCAGCATAAATATTGGGTTGAAACGCAAAATACCTCTCACATGAGCGACTTCATATAAAATCAACAAAGTTATGAAACTATTAACAAACTCCACTCGTCAACTCATACCTACATATGTATCATGCCAGTCAAAATGGTGAGTGTGTGTCTCTGGGATCCTCGTTGAGGAATTGTAAATGATGGTTGCGGGAATTGCATGGAAGATGGGCAGCTGTATTTTGGTTGTTTGTGAACATTTTCCGAGGCGAAGTGTTTGGCGAAAGTTGTCGGGGGTATTTAAAACCGGGACCATTGTGTGTTTCTTATGAGCTAATAAATTCTATATATCATAAATTTCATTTCATTTCACCCAGGCACTACGCAAATGGAATTAATGTATAATGGCATTCATTCTCTGTGTTATGTGGCTTTCCTTTCTATATTATAAGTCCTCCATCATCGCCTCTTTCCACGCAGCGAAAGGAGTTTGGCTGTAGTTGGTCTGTGGTGCTCTCAATGTGTGCAAATATCCAAAATGGTGGGAGTCACAATAAAATTGTTTTTATACCATGAGGACGAGGAGATGCTCCAACGCCTCCAGCATGCGAGAAACGCCCAAGGATGCGCCTGTAATTTATACTGTAATCCTTAATTTAGGACACACACACACAGAGTTCGATGTTTGGTGTGTGTTTGTGTGTGAAAAGAATGCTCAAAATGTGGTTGGATTAAGTGGATGAATTAAGATCCACTCTCATCTAATTCTCTATCAATAAGCATAATTTGTGTGGATTTTATTAGCATGATCCGCACATAATCCCACATGACTGAGCTTTCTCGCAGAAAGCTTCAAAGAATAGAGATTTCGATAGTGTCAGAAATGAGATTTTCTGATAAATGAGATGAAGCACATTCGAGGAAGTCTTGACCAGTTGAGCTGGAGTATGAAATCTATTTCCTGAATATCACTGAAATTTCTGTCACCGTTTTCTCAATATTTGCTAGAGAAAATGTCGTATAAGTTGTGTTGGACAAAGTTTTCGCCATTCGGCCAAGTTCTGTTGGAGTGCATTGAGTGCCAAGATGAGTGCTCTCGGTGAGATTTAAGCCTTAGAGAAAGGTGATTAGATTCCGAATGCGATGCAAGAAGTGTGGTGGCTTGGCTATTGTAATCCATAGCGATTTATTTTATGAACACACCTTTCCAACTTCCCTACGATGGATGCAGACGAAGTTGTTGGGCAGGACAGAAATACCCACTGATTATAGCGACAGAAGGTGTGCATGGCAAAATTATAAAGAAGTCACACATCCGAAGGTGAAAACCAATTTAACTTTGTTTCATCGTCAAAACGAACTCAATTCACTTTGTAATGCAGAAGTCTTGGGTGACTTTTGAGGAAAATTACGTTCCGTGTACAAATTCTTATACATTTTCCTCTTTGTGCGACCTCAGAGAGGATTTGAGGGCAGGGGGAAAGTGATTATGTAAATAGGGCGGGGGAGAATCAAGGTTTATTCCTTCCTCTCAACTTGCCATCGAGGCACGGATATCATTTTTCCCTTGCCTCGGATAAATCATTTATCATAGTAATTTCCTTCTCGATGGCGGCAGTTGTGATTAAACAACACTATTTTTGCCACCCAATAAATTTCTTTCGCACCAACCCACCCATCTTCAATCATCGAGAGCACTCGCTCAACCATAAACTATCGTAAATTTTTATTTATTCATCAAACACGATCATGATTGATGTCATTCAACATGTCACTTGACGTCAAAACACACACACACTGCGTCAGTTGGCTGGAAAAAAGTATATGTAAGGCAAGTGTGCGATAAAAATACCTCCCCATCAGAGGGAAGGATTTCCTCAAGACCGCATTGTCTTCGGCCGAGGACACACTCCATCGAGCCCAACCCCGGACCGAGAGTCCATTTCATTAATCCATGATAAACGACCACTGTCAAGTTTGCCAACAATAAGATATGTTACGCCGTCGACAAAATTAAGGTATTGATTTCCAATAATTTGCTAATTTATCATCTGCACGCCACCCTCCAGCAGAAACTGTTGCTGGATGGAAAGGGCCCAAAAGTACATCTCATTCATTAATTGCCATGATTGATGCAATTTATCAACTCGCCCTCAATTTCAGTCCAATTGTCAACTCTTTCTTTCTGCCAAATTGTCAAGCTGTGGCGAATTGAGCCCGGAATCTTCTGATGGTATTCATTTTAAGTATTTTAGAGTGGATGGGGAAATTTTTATAGATTGCACGCAGACTTTAAGTCCTCATTCAAAGGGGTTTTCTTGGAAATCGCAAATAAATACCAAAACCCTGATAAAAATTAAATTCCTGAAATTTTCTGAATTGGCACTCATTAGTCCGATGTGGTAAATTAATCTGCAACATTCGCTCAATATTTTAGCAGGTTTTATATATTTTGAAATTTTACTCACACAGAAAAGGATCAAATTTCGGGGAAATTTTTTTTTTCTCATTTTATCGGTGCAATTATGAATAAATTCCCTGTGGTAAAATTGAAGTATAGAATTTGTTTATGTTTAACAACAATTTAAATTTCTGGGTAAAGTCTCTGCTCGACTGCTTTCCAATGAACAAGCTGCCTACGAAATTAGGTCATTCTCCGCATTCAATAAATGTACGCATCAACTGTACATGTATGAATGAGATGCGAAATGGAGCGGGAATGTTGGGATTAGGTCAGGAATTTTGATTATAGCCGAGCGGGGGTGGTTAATTACTTCAAGGGTACATTTAACGTGTTTGATCTTTATTAACCAAAGTATGTCCTGTACTTGCACAAGCCAGAGAGATTGATTTTCAATCACAAGTCCCAATTGATTCCCCACACAGTCCATACACACAATTTTCCCACTCAATTCTGCAAACTTTTCCAATCACCGAGACACTCTGGCTGAGTTTCCGGCCAATAGTGCGGGAAAGGGGTGAAGTGTCGGCGGTGGGAATGCGACAAAATGTCTGTAATTGAATTAAATGATACACAAATTTATGATGAAGTGTGTATAATTTGCGGTAATTATTTGCGGTTTGGTGAGGGATATTTCCACGAGATGTTTATGCGGATAGGGAAGTTTCGTGATTTCATCCACTCAGCAATTACATGGGAATTGTATACACATTTGCCCTATTGGAACACTTCCTTCGCTAGTCTTCGTCCTACATGTTGTCGGCTATCATACTATGTTATATGCTTAACTATTGTGTATTTCCCTTTGGGCGTGGAGGGGATGCTTTTCAGTGAGTCGACGATTTAACAGTGCAATCCTCACTTTGCCGCGATTACACGGTGAGAAATTGCGAAGGGGATGTTTTAGTGCGCAGTCGCACTTCGCCGCTGCTCATCTTTTTACAGTGCATTCGAGAGCGTTCTCAGAGAGTCCGAGGGAGAATCCTGGCAGGAGACGAGTGAAAATCTTACTCACCGGCCGCGATACTCTTAGTCCTGATTGAACTGTCGGTGCGTGTTGTCCGCATTCCGCTGACTCCGTGATTTTACACAGCAATTCCTTCGTGGTGGTGACAAGTGCACCAGAAAAAAAACCCATCAGGCTATAGGTAGTCAGAGTGGCGAGTGATGCTGTGGTGACAAAGTGGTGGAAAGTGGCAATGAACCACCTTTGCAACGGCGAGAACTTGGACAAATTGCCGTGATTGGGTATTCAGTCTGGGAATTTTTCAATGATTCAGGGTGTGAGAGCTCTTCCCGGATTAATCTCATATAAATTGTAGATGAGAGTCACTCGTATCGAAAAGCAGTAAATGCTCTCTGGGCCACGGGAAAATGAGACCCTCGTCTCGCCCGTCAATAAATCATATTACAAAAAGAAGAACAGAGGAGAAAAACTTCTCCAAAATGTCTCAATTCCCCGCGAGGGACTCCGATCGTGATCTGTGTTTTGCATACCATTTCTCAGTGTGTTTCCAGCATCGTGTCGACTGCCATCCGCCCGTCCATTAGTTTAATATTTTTCTGGTTTTGTACATCTTGTTCTGCGCCTTTTTCTAGCCATGTCGCTCTGCCACCCACCCCGAAAAATTCAACTATATCGCTTTTCCAATTGATGTCACATGCACATGCTGAGATAAAACTTTAACTTTTATTGCCTGGAAGCACAGCGTGTGGGGCAAAAAAGCCAGGGCAGCGCGGAGGATGACGAAAAAGGGGATGCTGGGGCGAGGCGATAGCCCTCTGCCAAACTCCGCACGATGGATGAATAGTTTTTTGAGGTTATATTTTATTGGACTTTAAGATGCTCATGTGACTGCTCCCGACTCGATAGGAATGCTAAGCGGGCGCCTGACCATTTATGATGCCGTGATAAATTTCCTTTCCGCCCATGGGCGAGAAATCAAGGAGAAGGACTACCAGTATCTGCCGGGCTGGGCCGCGCTGCTTTTTGTCCTCGACCAGAAGAAGATAGAACCATTTGTATTCAGTGTATTGTCATATGATTTATTGCGTGTTATTTGAAAAGGCAACTACAGCGGAAATGTCCTTTTTTCATACTCTGTTGTTCCGCATACGTTCCACCCCGACCCCAAATCCACCTGACACCAATTCACACACCCACGAGCGCGACAGGAAGAAAAGAGTGCGACTAACTGGAAAACTTTCATATCCTCCCGAGGCAATAAATGGAGGCGAGAAGGTCGAATGAAATATTGGTGAAATGCGAAAATTAATTGTAGTTTGCGATTTGAAAAAAGGGGGCGAAAGGAAAGTGGCAGTGAATGAATTGTTTCAGTGCAAACGAGAGAACAATTTAAGCGGTTTGTCGCACCCACAAGTTCTCGTTGCTCCCCAACCCCACATCATTTGTTACACTGTGTGCAGACTTGCCCATGAGACAATTGAATACTATAAAAAAAGACAGCAGAGAGGAGCTTTTCAAATGTGTCACCGTTGATTGCTGCCGAGTGGAAAATCCCATCTCCCGAAGCCACACCATAGCTGCCAATTCCCCACCGAATCGCCTGTCCCGCACAGTCTTAATTGCAAGCCACGCAATCAACTTCTTTCTAATCACATTTCGATGAACAACTCTCGATGGGACCGAAGGAGAGACAAAATCATCTCCGCAAAGTTTTCTAATCAATTTAAGGTGAACCAAAGTCAATAGATAAACAGGTACACTAAGACAGGATTTCCGTGTGATTGCAAAACTAGATTAAAGCTGACGTTTCACTTCCTAATGTCTTTCCTGGACAAATGAAAAGAACATCGGTATAAAAAATACATCTTTCCATTAAATACATTGAAAATATTCAGCATTTTCTTTTTGTGATGAAACCATTAATTTATTGAATTGCGTCGATGAAATATTTTTGAAACACAAATAAATAATAATCATAGGAATGCACTATATTAAAGAATAATATTGGTTTTCAAGAGAAATGTTGAAAAAACATTTTCCACCAAACCAAATGATCATAATTACTGATTTTGTTGAGTGGCTGTGTGCGATGGCAAAAAAAAACAACAATTTTTGCGTATTGCCTTTCCTGGAACATCTCCTGAATTCATATTAATTGTTCGTCAGCTTTTTTGTGGTTGAACGCAGTTCATAAAAAAATTCTTTTTGTAGCAAATTGTGCTGGGAAATAGAATGGTTACAATAATAATATATAGGTGGGAAACAGCTGCATCTGGTTAGGGTTGAAATTTGGAGCAATTCTGTTCGAGTGAGAGGATAGTAAATTTAATGAATAGCTCGTAAGTCTAAAGTGAAATTGAGAGGCAAACTCTAAAGGAGCACAATAATGTTCTCAACTCATTAAAAGTATCATAAATAAAAGTTTCTCTAGTGTGCCTTTTTTGCACTCCTCAAGCATCCAATACTTGAAGTGTTGGAGTGATCCTTTGTAATTTTTCTTCCCGGAGCGCATTTTGGCAGCGCCTGCACAAATTTTATTGCCTACACGAGCAACTGTCCGATTTTTTTCTTGCCATCGTCGGGGTGCATTGTACAACATTTGATGTTATGGCAGAGTGAAAACTTGAGCAGTAAAATTACAACTAACGAGTTGGGAAAACTTGAGCACTACAGCCATTAATACTGGTGTACTTCCAAATCCACCCCCGCGCCCAGTTCTCAAATTAAACACACTCCCCGCCGATCCCACGGCAAACAATGCCCTTTCGATACTCGGGCGGTTGGGAAGATTAAAAAGCATCCCCGGGTAACTTTTCCTTCTTCGGCAACTTTAAACAAGTTTCTCCCTGCGGGGCCATGCTTTATTTGGCACTCAATGAACCCACCTCACATGCCAATAATCCAATTGTCAGTCTCCAGCTCTGCGGTCACTCACACCCGTCCAGATGGACGCCGGCGGCGTCCGATGAGGTGAAATCATAAATGAGCAAAGTTTTCCCGCCACAATTGTTCATGTGGTCGCTTTAATGATCACCAGCGGCAGCATTCAAATGTGCAATTTATTGCTGATAATCACTCAAGTGGTTAATTTCACCCATGCTCACTGTTTTATCGCTTTTGGCCAGTGAATGAAACTTTTCGAATTATAATGCTGAAAGTCACTCCGGAGTTTATGAAGCTCCTGTTGGTGGTAGTTGCATAGTCTCAACTTTTTTTCCTCCTCTTGGAGGAGAACTTTCAACTTCCAGTGGCAGCTCAAAGGGTCCCTGCATCGTGTATAAACTAAGAATTTTTATTAGCAATCTTCAGAGCACTTCCACGGAATTTGCATTCGACGAAGCGACGGAATTTTTCAAATCAGGAGTAAACAGTTTAACAGATTTTTCACCTCCGGAATTTTTAAGTGTCTCTGGCGGAAAACTTTCTGTATGCTCAGATTGCAGGAGAAATGTGAAAGTAGGAAAAATAATCTGCAAACTATGTCATAAATACGATTGTTGATGTATATTTGAGATATTTTGCAAATATGTAAGCTCCATAAGACGTTATTACAAGTCTTCGCGAATGCTTTTAATTGTTTCTGAGAAATTATAAATTCAATTTACTTGCTTATATCATCAGATATGTGCCTTTGATTAATCCCTTCCGTGCATATCTAAAAACTCAAGTAATGTCGGGAAGGAAGAATTACATTGTTGTCTCTTAATAATTCAACAATATGGACCAGAGTGACTGACGCTTAAAAGAGCGTAATTTATTACCTTGTCGAAGAGTGAATTTCCCGTGACTGGTTGAGGGGGAACAAAGGGTATTGGAAAAATTCAATACTATGAGAATTCCAAATGTGATTGAAATCGCGTATTTGGTCGCATTGAGGAGGATCGCCTTTAAATTTTGAATGATCCCTCAGAAAGGATGTTTTTTATGTTTCTGCTGTAGCGATCTCACGCAAACTTTGAATTTTCGTGAGGTATTGATTAGAGGGATGGTTGTGGAAACTCCTTGGGAAAGTTTCATTACATTCTCTCAATATTTCGATGTAGTTTCCACCAGTTTGGCTCACTCCCAGTCTTTTGTGCGCTCCCAGGAATGATAAAGAGCCATGTAAAGTGTGAAGAGAGACAACGGGAGCGGTGGAAAAGGGTCAGAAGTCGCGACAAGGTAAACAAAACCCCAGAGAACCCTCTCTATTTGACACAGGAAAGTGTGAAACTTTGATTTCCTCTGAATTAGAATTTTTTTTTCGCCACACCACTTTGCAAACACTCGCCTTTTGTCTGGGCTAACACAAAAATTGGTGGCACAATCAAATGGAGAACCGTTCCCCAGATGCCACAGCATCCCAGCAAGGACCATTAGGATTTTCATGGGGCGGACGAAAAAATGCCCACCGTCCACGGAATTGAGACAATTCCGCTTTCGGGGCTTTTCTCAAATTTAAATTTGCTGAAGCAGAGGAAAAATGTGTCCTCTGGGATAAATTCTGTTGAGACGGAAACGTTTTTTAGTGTCTTGAAGAGCATCATTCTCATGAGTTGGCAAGAATCACTGTGTGCAGAATTTCAATTAAAAACTTCCGCTCAAAACATGCAACACATCCACCCACTTTTGCAAGACTGAACACTGGGAAATCAATATAGATTTATTGTAATAAATCCGCTCTGTTGCTCCACTATTTATATATATTCCCTGGTGAAACTTCCAAAATGACAAGAGACTGATAACATTTTTATGAAACAATTAAAAAGACTCATAGAACTTCCAACTTATGCTGGGTTTACAACATTTGTCATGCCATAAAATGGAGCATCTGGTGAGCTTATTGTTAAAAGTTGCAATAAAGACCCCTCCTTCATTATAGCGTTTTAACTGCGTGGAAGTAATTTTTAGGGGCTCTGGATTGGCGGCATTTTTATTGGTAAATTATTTTGTTGCACAGTGTAATTCTTACGCCGCGAGTGGGTGGGTAATTAAAGCGCAATGATGAATGACATAAAAGTGATTTTTGCTGATGGTGTGTAATTAAAAGAAGGGCTTAGAATTGATCAAAAGCTCGTGTGATTGATGATGAGAGCGATTCTGCAACCGAAATTAAGTGCCCTTTTTGCGAATTCAGGCCACATGCCTGTGAAATGGGACACCCACTCCATGACCAATAACAATTGATTCATGAATTCCAGCCCATTAATTTGGGACAACTATAAATTTCAAAATTGTATCGCAACTGCAGTGACAAAGTGTTGCGTTGCAGTTGCCGTGTGATGTAATTATTTCCGTCATATCAAATTCAATCCTAAATTGCGTGTGATTTGCAGAGGAAACAAAAATCCCAGACCCCAAAAAGTCTTCAGAAATCTAGTTTCAATGACATTGAATGTGGAGAGGAAGAAAATTCTGCGCTCTGGGGCGATTCTGTTTCTGATGTCGTGACACAAAAAGTAGCAATTTTAAACTTTATTCATTCGCGAGCATCCATGGCAAAAATTGACTGTGGCAGACAAAAACTTTGCCTCCGCCGCCCATTTAATTGAATTAAGTTTGTCCCCCAGTGTATTTGACTTAAGTTTGCATGTTTTCTTCACATGCTGATGAGACATGGCGCAGCGGGAAGAGAGATTAAACAATTATCGAAAAGTCCAACTTAGGGTTGCACACGAAAAATTACTCGGGAATTAGCAGTCAAATTGAAAATGATGCCGGAAGCAAAGAAACGAGCAAAAAATTTATCCACTTTTCAGTCCAGGAACATTGAGATAAAGCACCCTGGCACATTGTGCATATTTTATGAAATTGGTCATAGTGAAGTTTTTCACGAAAATATTTTCTTTTTCATTGTGTTCGTGAACAGTTTTTAATCATCTTGAGCGATAAAGGAAAAGGTGACTTTGTCCCCTAAGTTATAATTATAATTTGACGGTGTTCCGAAGACTATCAAAAGTCGACTTTTCAGAGTAGACGTCTTATGAATTTTTTGGACAGATCTTGACGTCTTCCACCACGTCTGAAAATATTAAATTAAGTTCGTCGGCAAAAAATGAAAGAAATCATACATTTATGAATTTTAGTTGGGCATAATTTTGTATGGTAAAAAGTATTAAATATGGAAAATAAATCTTAGCGAATGATTCTAAATTCGGAATAAAATCAATTAAATTAAAGGAAAGAAAAGTCGAATTATAAATTCAATTTGACATAACAAGTCACATAATCATAAATCAATTTTTTCAGTAAAAATCTCATGATTTTGTAAATAATTCTTATAAATTATAAACAAAATGTGCAGGCAAAATAGAAAAAATTGCTTTTCACGAACTGTTCAGAAAAAACGAACAAAGAAAACTATCAAAAACCGATTTTTTGTATTACTTATCGTTAGATAGTCTATCAATTCTCCATATTTCAGTTAATATTTTAATGACTAACCAATGAAATCAATTGAAGGTTATAGAAAATAATAGAATTCACCATATATTATCAATTTAATGGAAAATAAGAGGAAATTTAAGGAAAAAATAAAGGAAATTACAAAGCGATTTCAAATCTCAAACTTCAAATCGCTCTACTGAAGAATGGCAATTTTGATATTTTTTCAAAGGTCTTTTTTTAATTTTTCTAATGCGCTTTTGAAGGTTTCAGCATGAATGTAAATGCCATCGGTTACAGCATAGTTTTGCCGCAGAGATGCATATTCTGCTATAAAAAAAAACACAAACCAATAAAACAAAGAGAAAACGACAATATTTTTGCACAAACTTTTAATATTCCATCCGTATTTTTCCATCTGAAATTCCGATTGAGAAGAGCTCTGACAATTTTCACTAATTCCCCGTGAATATTTCCGTGCAATCACGTGCGCACAATCGTTTGCATAGAAAAAAGAGACTAGAGCGGAATAGGAATCCGGTGAAAATTAAATAAATCACACACGAATGTGCTGGCCAGTGTTAATTTCGGCTGGTATTGGTGGGAAATATGAGGAATGCAGGGGTGAGCGTGGCAGCGAGATAGACAGTGCGGTTTTTTGAATTGAAATAATTAAAGGAATATTAAATAAATTGTTGACATACTGATGAATTGTGTGACGCGCTGAAAAATACGAGGTGGCGTGTCAAAGTGAGTGGTGTGCAATAGGAAATTGTGCATTCAGCGGGGGGAGAGCAGCCCCCGGAGGCCAAAGTGCGAGGGTGCCTGGAGTGACAACCACAGCGGCAGTTTGTGGGTTGAAGGTGACCTGCGGAAAAAATGACTGCGAAAAGTTGGGTGGGAAATAGATTTATCGGGGCGGGTAAATAACTCATCTGTGCAAACAGAAGCAGCAGCTCGACAGTCAATGCGGAGGGATTTGGTCGACATGCAAATGAGCAAAGTGCCACGTTATCGAAACAGTGCCAAGGGGAAGAGGTGTGATGAGAATATTGAGTTGCAAATATGAATAAAATGATGTTCAACAGCAGTGAGAACGCTTTGTTGTGATCACATCGTGCATCTGCTCACTATTATTATTATTTTCATTCGAACACGATCCCTTGCTGAGGTCCTTGGGAGATGGCGACACGCGCTGGACATGCGAGGCAATCAATTCGGCCACTCCCCAATGACTCTGTGAGGAGTTGATGGTGAATTTGAGCAGATGGTGAGCCGTAGAACTGCCCTCAGTGGATTAATTGTGGATGCTGATTCATAGGCAAAAATGGAAATGAGAAGCATTTGTGAATTGGTGGCCGAACTGATCATCATGTTGTGCATGTTTGTCCAATTCTCGCACGGATTAATCGAAATTCAATCCGATAAGGAAAAACCAGGTAAAGTACATTTCATATCCCATTGTTCCCCCTACATCACTATATTTATCCTTTCTCGCCAAATACACAATTCCCTGGCAAAATTGCTACGTGTTCACAGTGTAGCGCAGCGACAACCTGTGTACAAAATCAAATTACTTGTTCATTTTGGCGACATTTATTCAAAAACTCACCCACGATGTCCTGTTGTTTTGCATGTCCATCCACAGACCATAAAATTGGCATATCCGCGCCAGCTCCAATAAATTTCGTGAAATATTATTAGGGTATTTTGCAATTTGGTCGGACTTTTGAGTGGGCGGAGCTTCACAAAATAAGATCTGAAGCCACACCGCAGAAGCTCTCAAGGATTAGACCTATTTTGGTTTATTTGTCATTCAAAAACTTTCCAGCCAATTTACATTACAAACTCTCCCCCACACTCCGTAATCAATATAGCAGAATTACAAATTGTGAATTAAAATAATTATAAACAGCCTCGAAGCTTTTACACTCTCCGCCACAAATTGATCACTGGGTTTTCGCTGGAAAAATAAACTTTGCTATTTATCTTTAAAATACGATAAACATCCATGTTGTTTAATTATAGTCATAATTAATTTTTCATAAATAGCCATCTGCACTGAATAATTCATTGTGAAAAGGTACGAGCCGCAATGTGTATGCGTTTGCATGGAAAACAAATAGAATTAAGCTGATTATGCTATTTACACCGGCCCAAATATGTCTTTATTAATTAACTTAATGAAGCACATTGATGAAATTCCATTTTCCAAAATCCCACCGTGTGATTTTACCCTATTTTTAGCCCTTACCGCTGAGTGATTGTGCCTCTGGAGTGGCTGAGAAGAGTTTGACTGGAAGCCACCCGGCGTCTCCACTGGCAATGGAGGCGCCTGGTGTGAAATCTTCAAAGGCTCAGAATTTCTCACTTTTCTGAAGAATCTCCCCCGCATTCTCAACTTTTATGAATGTCTGGGACTCCGTCCAATTACCAGCAGTGATTTTTCGACGGAAAGGGTGCGCCCAATTGTTGTCTGTGCGATGGCATTTCGGAAAATTTCCTCCTTTGAGACGCATGAGATTAAAGCTGCGACTGGGAAATTAAATCATATCTCACAACTCAAGTCCAACAGCACGCTATGTGTATGAGAGTGGTGTAAGCAAAATTGGGTGTATTGCGAACAAAGACAAGCCAATTTATCAGTATAAGCATCTTTTTCCCCATCTGCAGAATTAATTAATGTGCGCTGATATAAAAATAATGTACAAAGTTGAACACGCTTTGTTTATTTGGATTTAACTCCTTATTGATTCAATTTAATTTGCCATGGGACAGCTGGAGAGCACCTCGAAAAAGTCTTGGAGCCAAAATTTAATTGTATCACTTTATCTGAAATTAGATCCACATGACGGTTGGGTGTGAGAGCGAGCGAGAGGATGTAATGTTGCGAGCTGAACTGAGATTAGTGGAATGGAGAAAATGGAAATGCTGTGGGTGCGGAGTGGTGCCGTTGAGGGACGAAATATAATGAAATTCAATCAATTTTCGGCCAGTGAGGAGGATTAATAGGGCTATTTTCATTCCCACACACTTTCTCACAGAGAAGCTCACAGCGGCCTAGAGTCAACAAGACCTAAATGGTCCATCGAGGAATTTATGTGTGCCGAGGAAGAGAGGATTTGTACGCCGAGGCGTCAGTCAGTGTGTCCAAAATTGGCTTGTCTCTGCTGGGTGTCTTTTTAACAAATTGATTTTCTCGTTTCTTTTGTATCATTTTATACAGCGACACATCTGCACTGTGAGAAATAGTGCGACAAGTGCGAAATTTTACTAAAAATTTCGAGTGAAGGGAAGCTCTTCTGCTTAAATCACTCTCTCATTAGATGCACCGTGCGAAATATTGCACAATAATTTAGTCAATTTCTGAAAAAGTTTCTTTTTAAAGCACTTGTCCAATCCACCTCATCAAAATTTTAGTGTTTTCCCCGTCAGTTTAATGACTAGCAGAAAGTCAGCTGAGAATAATAGATCACGTTGTGAGTTTAAGGTGGTTTCTTCTCACCCTTCGTGTGCCCCATGTGCTCTCACTCACTCTCGTGCAGCGCGGCTCTTAATTGGCAATACTTGTGCAGAAAGTGTGAGTGTGAGAATGTGAGTCAACTTGGGTGAGTAACAAAAAGCTCCCCCTTTTGTAAATTAATTGGTGAAATTTTCTTTGCTTGGTAATTCGTTCATATTCCACCGCCCGCGCCCATTGGAAAATTAAACACAATAGAAATCGTATCCTTGCGTAAATCACCTTGGGCAATTCTCAAAGAATATTCACTCGACACACAGGCCTCATGGAGTACCGAGGGGCCCACACCAGCCGCCCAATTAATCTCTTTATTCCTGGTTCGTAAATTAAAAAGCTCTTATCTCTCTCTCTCTGTGTCTCTGGGCTGGAGTTCGCCACCCCCGCGCGCGCCGTTGCAGCAAATCGACGGGGGTGTATTTTTGACTTTTTCCCCGCCAAACAACTTCTTGAGAACCCCCTTCAGCCGGGAAATTTCATAAGTTACCTAATTTGCAAAATTTCCACTAATTATGAAACTTGGTGAATTACAAGCCGCTGGTCAATTTAGCCGTGGCGTCTTCACCTGCGGGGGCAATGATTAAATTTGCCATGCCCCTTGCGGGAGGCACTCGAGTTTCACTTTGAATTTCTCCAACTTCCCTCGCCGAATGTTTAATTACGAGCGAGAGAGCAAGAGTAGCTCTATCTCACGCCTCATCTCTATCAATATTTTGACTTCCCTGTGCTTGGATTGAAGCCTTGGAGGAGAATTTGCCTTCAAATCAGGAGATGACTTTAGGTGTTTGACTCAAAACTGTTGCCGATCGATTTTCGAAGGCTTTATTAACCCCTTGATTATATTTTAACTCGGCATTAATTTCCCTCTTCTTTGGGGGTGGAATTTTTATTCGCACCCTCTTTGCAAAGTCTCGTAAAATTCCAATTAAAAGGAGTCAATTTTCCTACTTCTTTCACTCACCATTTCCATCGCACTCTGTTTGCCTTGGAAATCAAAGGAATATCGCAGTGTGGGTTTCGCCGTCTTTGGGATTTATTTTCAAGTATTTCTCATCTTCACTTGAAATTGATTAATAATAATGAGATCTCTGATCAGACGCAATCAGCTCAAGAATTCCAAATATATTTACTGGCAAAACATTCAACTCTTTTGCGTGTCAGATTACAGACTTAAAGAAAAATATCCAAGACGAAAAATCCTCCAGTGAAGAAAACTCAAATGCAAGACACTATTCTATCAGATTGAGACTTAAATCTCCTTAATGTCTCGTGGCGGATCTTCGGGTGAATTTATCGGAATTTATTTGTGACATAACAATTTCTACTAATGGTATTTCATTTGCAGTAAATTTCACTGGGATGGAAATTAAAACTTCATTCTTTGTACCACACTTTGGCAAGCCTTTTCCATTTGACGAATGTTCCCTCGTTGAAAATTCCATCTGATGAGTTTCACTCATCAAAAATACATGAATTGATGAGGAGCAAAAAATTATTCTGATATGTAGCTTGTTTGAAGACAAACACCGAGAGAGATATTTCCACAAGAGTAAATAAAATTGGAGTTGAAATCGTAAAATCTTTAATTTTTCCCATCTGCAATATGTTGAATAGACTGTAAATATTTCATGTTCGTCATATAACTCCTTTTTAATGTATTTCCTTTTACATTTGCCTCGACGACAGTAAAAAATGCCACCGGATCAGAGCATGTTTGGTGCGAAATATGTGCATCTAAGCATAATATCTTCAAAAGTAAGATTTCTCTTGCTATTAAATTAATCACTGTGCTCTAGGCAATTTCAGCTCCCTCTAATTCTCCTAAGTGTGCATTATAACAACACCCCGAGGCGGTTCTCTGAGTGCTGCTTTCAAAAACTATGTACAGTCCTGTCACCCCGTCGTTGAACTTAGAAAGCTGGAAGAGAAATCCACACATTGTTTGTGAAATTCCACTCCAAGATTGGTGCTGAGAATTAATTGGATTTTTCTGTTATTTGCTGTTTTCGCAGCAGGAGCAAAGCCTTTCCTCGACATTTAATCAAGTGCAAGTGAAGGATGTGTTAATATTATATTGTGCAGGGTCTCCTTGAGCGCCAAACTGCACTCCGCATATTCAATGTGGTTAGTTTATTAACCCAACACTGTGGATGGTGCGGAATATGGGCTGGGCGGCGCGGGCGGGGGTGAAATTCATATAAAATTGGCATCCTTAAGGACACACAGTGGTAAACATAAAAGTCGAGGCGCTCCGGCATCATATCCATGCTAGGCAAACAAGCCAATAAAAAGGAGTGTATTTTCTGACTTCGTGCGAGATGAAAAACATTTTTCCAATGCTCATGTGGGCACACTTGACTGGCAGAAGCGGTATTTTTATTTATGACTCGAGGAATTATATCATGATTCGCCAAGGCGGGAGATGAAGAACAATGGTCATCCCTTTTTGGTTTTTATTGTTGCTTTTATGTTGTCATTTAGCCAGTGACACAATAATAACAAACCGACCCCGGCGGCCATCCCTGGGCATAAACTACCGCACCAATGCTCTTCACTCCTCATATTTTGCCCCATCTCTGGGTCACCCGCCCTCCAATGACGATGCAATCCCGAGGGCAGAGTGCTTACGGATCGCACAATGGCATACACGAGAGGATGGAAAATTTACTGATATGGCGATAATTATTATTTAGTTTTATTTGGACACACACATTTCACACCCCATTAATTTTTCATGTGCACACTACACATTGAAACATAAATAAGGATTGATTGCTGGACGTCGTCTTCTGTGCATTGTTTCACGGCAGGGGACACTGGGGTGGACGAGGCGGGGGATCATCCCCCTCTGGCCTGACACACAATCGATAATCAATACATGGACTCTCGGGAGGGCAAATAAAGGAAGAGATTTCACGCATT